TCTGATGGAAGTGATGAGCCGGCCTTTTCTGTGTCCTGTTCATGGCAGACATGGTGGAGGGGCTCTGTTGCGTGGGTGGTCCTCTGGGAGGCAGGAGTGAGTGATGCCCTGTGACAGCAGTAAGGGGCTTCTAGAAGAATCGGGTTTGTTTGCTTTTTTGTTGCTTGTAGACTAAGGAGGGTGGCTTTGGAAAATTATTTTCTTTTTACGAGCCTGTGTGGAAACTCTTTAAAACCATGCAGAGTTGTGTGGCTTCCCTCAGCTCTTAAGTTGACTGGGAAAAATATCAGGTAGACTTGTTTCTTTGTATATTTCTGGGTAATCAGCAACTATGGAATCTTCCAGCAAGAATACAGACCTCTAAATCCTTAACAAATAGCATTTGTATTGACTGATCTCCTTTAGCATTTTACGTTTTGTACTCAAGTTTCACAGTGTCGTGTTGTCTTTCACGCACAAAGTACGCGCATGACTCTGGCGCACCCCAGTCTTATTTTGTCTAAGTTTCTGAGGCCAATGAATTTTTAAAATACTGAGGTGGTCTCCCTATGGAAAAATAATCACCCCGTCATGAATTCCTTGTTTGTGTAAAGGAAGGAACCTTCTGTTCCTGTCACTGTTAAACTGTGGGCGTGAGCACCATTAGACCCTCAGAAATAAAGGCAGGTTCTTTATATTTAGAGGAGCTGCTTTCTCAGGAGATAATGCTCTGAACCATATCCTTTATTTTTCTTAATCACCTCATAGTGTGACGGAAGCTCTCAGTACTCCTGCATTAAAACACAGTTGGCCTAGAAGCCATGTGAAATTTAATTTGATTTCTTTGTGGGTGGGAGTGGAATGACCCATACAACACCTCTCATTGCTGTTGTGCCAGCTGCTGGGGCGGGGGCGGTGCGGCACCGCATTTGAGCACATTTGCTGGTGTACTGTCTCCACTGCTGTGCAAACATTTTGGTTTATGACATAGCCCTTCTTTTTCATTGTAGGGTGGCTTTACAGGGAGTAAATGTTTATTTTACAAAGAGAAATGTACTATATTAAAGTGAGCTACTTACCACATTTTTGCTTTAATAATCGTCTTTTCGGGGGTCGGTAACATCATGTAAAAAATTTCTTTGTGAATGAAAGTTTTGTTTGTATACTAGAATAGCACTTGATTGCTGATTTTCCCAACTTTGCTCATTGTTTAGAAACTGCATTTTTCCTGGTGAATTAGAAGAGCCACAGTTGGAAGCCAGGTGGCTACAGGTTGTTTACTAAGGGCGAGAAATTTCTCCAGGTCCTCCCTGAAGCATAGGGCTAGCAGAGCTCCCGGCTTTGGGAGAAACGGCCTAGGGTGTCTGTTTGGGCCCTTGTTGCCTTCTGCCCTCTCTGAACAGACCAACTCTCTGCCTGGGTGGGGGCTGTTGGGGGGAGCTCCCTGGCCGGCCACGTGGCTTACTCTCTGCCTCCCCCAGCCCTCAGGCTTTGACGCCCCCCTCCAGTCCATCTCAAGGGGCAGGGGGGCTTGGCTTTAAATATTTTTCCATCATGGAAAATTTGAAGAGGACAAAGGCTTTCAGTGATCCTTTGGTTTTGTTTTTCTGTGCAGATGTGTGACCTTTCTGCTTAGAAGCAAAACTTAGATATGAAAGTATGAACCAGATATCTTGGTAGGTTCATGTGCTCATAATTCTTCAGCTTTAAGCTGGAGTTGTGTTTGTTGGTTAAACCCAACTGGGGGGCAGCCAGGTGGCTCAGCAGTTTAGTGCCGCCTTCAGCCCAGGGCCTGATCCTGGAGATCCGGAATCGAGTCCCTCATTGGGCTCCCTGCATGGAGTCTGCTTCTCCCTCTGCCTGTGTCTCTGCCTCTCGCTTCTCTTTCTCTCTGTGTGTCTCATGAATAAAAAAATCGTAAAAAACAAAACAAACACCCAACTGGGGTAAGTTAAGGACCAAATGAATCATCTTACTCAAGGGTTTCTTTCCTTTGTGAGTCTCCCTAGTTTCAATCCAATCCCAAACTTGAGTTCTAACAGTAGGCCTCTATAAGTGCGCGCACACAATAGGGACACACAATGCTCTCCTTCCCTGTAACTCTGCAGATTGGTAGGGCTGGTTCCTACTGTATTTAGTTAGGCAGCGGAGCCGACACCCCCAGCTGATGGGTGTCCTGGGCTCCATTAGGTGGGCCCTTCCCCAGAAGTTGTCTTCCTGCATTCAGAATGGTGTTGACATTGAGCTGTTGCTCCTGGAGTTGGCTAGCTATGGAAGTGCTGCGGACCAGTTTTGAAAGTGCCCTTCAGGGTACAGGGCTGGATGGGCCCCTGACACAGTCTTGGGGCTCTCCTCTCTATGGCCCCTGTGGAGGCAGAAGCCAGGCCAGGCCACCACATGGTGAGGACTGCTGGGGCACACTTTGTAAAGGGCAGTAGTGAGGTGAGGGAGAAGAGACCATAATGGGGGGAGAAAGACCAGCCCTGGAAGGAGAGTTCAAGTGCAGGAGGACAATTGGAGAATGACCTAAAGGGACCTGCAGGATGTACTTAAGGCCAGGGCTGAAGGATTAGCCTCCAGCAGAGAAGGGCCCCTCTTGGAACACAGGAAAGAAAGATCCAGAAAGGGAAGCTGCAGGATGCTGTGGGTGGGAAGGAGAGCTGAGGGTGCCAGGCAGGGCCTGAGGAGATTGCTTGTGGTATGAGCTGATGAGGAGGCTCGGCTCCGAGGCTGCTGGCCCTAGATGTGGGCTATTTTGTAAACAGCAAATTTTTGAAAAATATAAAAGCCTCATGTGTCTGAAACTATAAAAAATGAAAAACTGACATTTTTGTTACTGGTTGTTATATAGTGATTTGATATCTTAAAACATCTTAAAGGCACATGACTTATAATGAAAGAAAATGAAGTGTTAGCTGTTCTTTGAGCCCTTCTATAGGACCTCGTGGGTCAGCTGGTTGTAGCCCTCTATTTTTGTTGAAGGCACCTTGTTTCAATCCTGTCAGCCCTGGAGAGAGGATCCACAGCGTTGACTCTAATAAGGTGGATGAAGTGATGTTATAAAATAAGAATGCCCAGGAATCAAGTGATACACATCCATGTTTGTAGAAAGTGGGAGTTTTATTATCCCTTAGAAGAATGAGATGAGAAAATACAAAAACTGCTTCCATTGTGAAATTACCTGGTGAATATTGTGTGTGCTGTCTACCCAGTGTTCCTCCATGTACATTTTGGGAAGAGTATATATGGGGGGGGGGGAGCAGAGAACACACCTGGGGGCAAAAAGGTAGGTAGTGAGAGAACCAATGATTTTTAAATTTTCTTTTAAAGTAACAAAGTGGGGATTAAAATCCAGGTGGTGATAGGAATATTCTGTTGATCTAGCATTGATTTGTAGACCTATAAAATCGAGTTAGCTGACAGGGATTATCGGGTGATAAGCAGAGATAGAGAAAAGCTAAATGTAGAGAGAATAATGGAATTCAGAGTAATAATTTTATTTTATTTTTATTTTTAAAAAACATTTTATTTATTTATTCATGAGAGACACAGAGAGAGAGGCAGAGAGCAGGCTCCATGCAGGGAGCCCCATGTGGGACTTGATCCCAGATCCCGGGATCACGCCCTGAGCCAAAGGCAGACGCTCAACCACTGAGCCACCCAGGCATCCCCAGAGTATTAATTTTAAAACCTTGACTTTAAAATAAGTATTTTTCAGTTCTTATAAGATGTATCTTAAATTTATTTTTTCTTCCATTTGTAGTTTATTTGAGCCAGTGCCCTGTGCTGCAGTGCATTGCATGCAGTACAGTAGTGAATAAGACATTTTAAGTTCTTGGATTTCATAAATACTATTTGCTCAGAAATTTTCATTGTTTTTATGCCATATGAAAACATCCTCTATGCCTTTATGTGATAAACACCATTTTTTTTTACCTATCCTGTATGAAAATTCGAGAATGAGTGACCTTATGTATTGTGTCTGTGAGAGATTATACATATATACAGACTTGTATAAAATTACATGTACAATCATTTAAAAAAAATTTTAATGGAATAGTAAACTTACAGTTTTTATAATGGGGGGACTGTGAGACATGGTTCTTATTTCCATTATGTGCCCTTTATTTCTTGGTGTTACATTTGCAAGGTTTAAGTGGTAAAGAAACCATGAACACTGCTTATTTCTTTTCTATGTGTTCACTTAAGATCAGATGTCTTCTTGAATTTTTATCTAGGTTAAATGATATTTTTTGGCATACTACATGCCATAAAGAAATGGAATAAACCATGATAATGTTTTATTAAGATACTTAAGCACAGTTTTTATCATTTCAGAGTGTATATATATATATATATTAAATTGTGTTGCATATCTTTAAAACATCACATTCTACAACCTAAAAATAAAAAGATAAACACTGGATCTTTTGATCTGCTCTAAATACAGAAGTGACATGAAAAGCCACAGAGAATAGGGCTTTTTTTTTTTAATTTTTTTTTAGGGATCCCTGAGTGGCGCAGCGGTTGGGCGCCTGCCTTTGGCTCAGGGCGCGATCCTGGAGACCCGGGATCGAATCCCACGTGGGGCTCCCGGTGCACGGAGCCTGCTTCTCCCTCTGCCTGTGTCTCTGCCTCTCTCTCTCTCTCTCTCTCTCTCTCTCTCTCTCTCTCTCTCTCTCTCTCTCTATGTATGACTATCATAAATAAAAAAGAAAAAATTTTTTTTATTTATTTATGATAGTCACACACAGAGAGAGAGAGAGAGAGAGGCAGAGACATAGGCAGAGGGAGAAGCAGGCTCCGTGCACCGGGAGCCCCACGTGGGATTCGATCCCGGGTCTCCAGGATCGCACCCTGGGCCAAAGGCAGGCGCCAAACCACTGCGCTACCCAGGGATCCCCGAGAATAGGGCTTAAAAGGCCCCAGTGTCAGTGTCTTTGGGGATACGGCATAAGCCCTGAGGTTTACCAAGGTCAGGTCTCTAGTCTGTTCACAGACTTTTTGGTTTTTGCCCTTAGCTCCTTCCAGACCAGCTTGTCTTGCTTCTGGAGCATCTCTTAGAGCAGAAGACTCTGAACCCCCGAACTCTGCAAAGCCTCGAGAGGACATACCAGCTCTCCCAACAGGATGCAGAGGTAAGCAGGAGTGCTCTTGGAGTTTGGACAGTGGGCCCTCGTTGTTGATGAAGAGTGATGGTCCTATTGCACCCCAAGATGCTGACACTGCTCTTGCCATTAGAAGCATCCATGCTGTGTGCTTCTGAGTGAAGAACAGGTACTTTATGCAGTGTAGACTGCTCCCCTGTTCATGCTTGCTCCAGCATGGGGCCTCTGATCCTCTTTGTCACCAGGGTATGTTGAGGTCCTGAGTTTTCTGAGTTTTTCCTTTTACATCTTAAATCGTAAAGACCAACATCAGTCTCCTAAAGGAATGAGCAGACAGGGTGGAGTGTTCTTGAATTAGAAACTCAGACGGGTCATTTTGTGCACGAAGGTGGCGCCATCCTGCTGCATATTAAGGAAACTTGGCTCAGATGTGCCAGAACTTCTTGGTTGCATTCGGTTAGGACAGGAAAGGAGCCATGTGTAAAGGAAATGAAGCCTAATCTAACAGCCGTGGTTTGAAAAGCAAAATTGGATGCTTGTGGGAAAGCAATATGATGTGGTTCATAATATCTTTTAGCCTACTTGGAAGAATGCAGGGTGAATCCTAAGATGAATTCCACAAGTTTTTATATATGTGAAATAGTAAATATTTATTGCATTAAGTCATCTGAAACAAAAAAAAAACAAGCACATACTCAAAAAAGAGAAAAACTCTCTTATATAAAACTCCTAAAATGCAAGTGAGCTTGTTTGTGTTCAATTGAAATAACTGAACATTTGAAACCCGTCCAGTGCCATGTGGCCGCCTGTAGCCACCCACAGTTCTCGAGTGCTTGATACGTGGCTGTTGTGAATTGAGATGTGCTGTGAATTGAGTGTGTGAAATGCACCATGGATATTAAAGACATAGTGTACAATATAAATCATCTCATAATTTCTTCTTATTGATCACAGTGTCAAAATGGTATTTTGGATTTGTTGGGTTAACTAAAATATGAAAACTAATTACACAATCACTAAAATGGAATAAAGCAGGAAAAGCCCACTCATTATTATTAAAAGGCAAGATGGACATTGTTACACTTTTGAAAGCCCCATAAATTCAGGAGTCAATGGTAAAACTCCAGAGAAGACACATGTGGCTTTTCACCCACCTGAGCATAGATCAAATGTGCAACTGTTGCTCTTTATTTTAACTCTCATACTTTTGTTTATGGGAGTTTCCAAGTGTCAGCCTGTTATTTTTAATTAGTGCTTAAAAGATATTTTTATTTATAGGCATGAGGTTATGTTTTAATCAGAGCCGAATTCTTCTGAAATGCCAAGCCCCTATGACTGGCAGCGGACAGGCGAGGGCAGGTGGATCAGAGCAAGCACGGGGCACCTGTCACTCTCTGCCCAAAAGCTGCAAGGTGCAAGACCTTGTGTTCCCCCTTGTTACTTTTAAAAACTACAATTTAAAAAAATACACAGCACTCCTAGCTGCAGGCTGATTTGGCCTGCTTTCTCCAGAGCTTGTTGGCCTCTGCTCTGGGACATGCGGGTTGATTGAGGTCAAGGGTGGGCAGGGGCCAGATGCAGGAGGGCCTTGAGGCTGTGGAATGCAGTTGGGATTTTTTTTTTCTAACAGTGTGCCTCCACCCTGCCCCTTTCCCAGGTTCTCTGAGGTCCTGGCATGTGGTTACACTGACAGCTCGTCTCCCTGTGAAGTTTCCTTGAAATGTCACTCAGAACCAGAAAAGCAACAGGATTTTGGCTAACCAGGCTGTTTTCTAGAAACTTTATTAGTTAAGTGTGATTTTTTTTATGACATTGATTAGCAGGAATTTAGTTGAATAACCATCTGCCTTTATTTTAAGTGACAGAACATTTCATGGGAGGAAGAATTGTTATTTGATGGGAAGGTCTTGAGGATTCTGACTTTATTTTCGATGGTTCTCCTTGGCCTAAACAAATCAGGATCGTCCCTTTCAGCCATTATCAGAGCTTTTAAATATGTCCTAAATGGCAATCATTGGAAAGTTGGCCAGATTTGCTGGAGTGTGGCAGGCCGTGTATGGAGCATGCCTGTGGGAAAGGGCTCCGGAGTGACTTGCCTGGCACAGAACAGTGTGAGTTATGGCCTGCTGCTCTTTGCCCAGGGTGCTGGGACCTGGGACCAAGGCTTCAGCCCCAGGGACTGCAAGGACTCCAGCACAGAGGAGGGGTGCTCGTGCCAGCATGGGGAGGGTGTACAGGGAGTGCAGTCCCCCACATTTCCCAGGTATACGGAAAGGCTCCTCTTACTCCTCTTGGATGGGCCTTTTTCCTGAGAGCGGATACATGAGTCCCTTTTGACAAGGGAGCTTACTGCTCCTCGCCTCACTGCTGCGGCATCTCCCAGCTGCTGGAGCGGTGGCTCTGGCTGCTCCTGCCCCCACCTACCCAGGGCCCCTGCAGCACAGCCTTGTTGGCCAGGTGGTACACGGTCCAGGCTCCCTCCACCCTCTGAGTATTCTCAGCCATGTAAGACACCTGTCTTGCTGTGACTTGGGGCCCCCTGTCCTGTGGCTGCTTCAGCTCCTTTGCTGTTACCCCCCTGGGCCCATCCCTTCCTCTCTGTGTGTGGGCAGGCTGGTGTGGTCCCACTGGGAGGTTTATTTTTAATTATCCTCTCTAGGTAGCCCGGTGTCTGTTAGCAACTTACTGCTTCTGGGTTTCAGCCATGTTCCCAGAACGTCTGCTCTGTGAGTCAGGATTTCTGAGCATGGCGCCTAGGCCCATGTTGCAGGTCAGATTGGTGGGTGTCGGCCTTCTGAGCCCCAGTCCAGGTTACATGCCCCCTGGCTTTCATGGGCCTGCGTCACACATGGCATGAATACACAGTCCTGCTCTGTGGGGGAAGGGATGCCATGTGCTCCCGGTCCTAGGGGAAGAGTGCTGGAGGACAGGGGTCAGCAGAAGCCGGGCAGAATCGTGTGTGTCATCATGGGCCACTTCATGCCTCGCCTGCAATTCCCCTTGCCACCCTCTGAAACGTGGGGCACTAGTGGGGGGATTTTCATCTTCCTTAGTCTGAAAAGTAATCATCAACCATTTTTTTTTACATCCTGAGCTAACGAAACTATTAACCATGTGTGGGGCTGCTTTTAACCAGGATGGAAAATGAGCTGAGGGCAACCTCAATTCGCAGAAATATATTGTTGACAGTTTTTTTTTTTTTTTTTAACATATTGGCTCAACTAAAGAGCCATGAAAGTTAAAAAAAAAAAAAATAGATGTTTGATTCTTGGGACAAAGGCTATTTTCTAAGATCCTTTCCTAAATGATGACTTTCATGCCCCCTTAGCAGGTCTCTTGAACTGTAGCATCGCTGCCGTGGTTGGGGATGAGGATCCACGCAGCTCGGCTCTGGGACCTTTCTCCCCAAGGGCCCCTCACATGACTTTGAAGTTAATTTCTTTCTATAGACTACAATTGAGTACTTCATAATTAGGGGCACACCTCAGGTGAATTTTCAGAAATTCAGAATCAGTACCTCAGCATCTTATCTGGCTTAGATGGGAGTAGAGGGCATTAGTCAGAAAGGTCCCCAAGGTGTTATGCTCTGCTCTGGTGCTTCAGTTGGTAGATTGAGCCAGAAATTTCATTTCTTTGAGAGAGACAGTTACCAGTGTCAGCTGCTCCCCTCATGTGTTTGGGGAATTACCGAGGGCCGAAAGGAGAGGTCTCCTGAGTTAGGTCACAGTGGGACAGCTGGGCGCCTACCCTTTAGTCTCCCTTCAGGGGACAACCCCTCATGGTCAGCCACCAGCAGGGAAGGATAGTGCCTGCTACTGGCCTCAGGAGTGCCTCTGCCATGCCTTGATCTCTTAACACCCCAGCCAAGCACCTGATCCTGGCTGAGGCACTGCCTTGGTAACAAGCTCCACTTGAGTCCCAGGCCCCCAAATGGCTGGTGACCTCCAATAGCCACGTCACCCCCTTCCTGAGCTCTGTCTTCCTGTCTTCACAGCAGTCTGGGCTGGACTGTAGACTTCCTGGCTTTTATGGCCACAACCAAGTGGCAAAAAGTTTCATGAAACCAGTTTTACATTACTATCCTTTCCTATTTCATTTTCTTTAAAAATGTGTGTTGCAATAAATTGCAATAAATTGATTTTATGAGTCACCAAATGGGTCGTAGCCCATAGTTTGAAAAATGCCGGGCGGGATGACGTTGGTCCTCCTCACAACCCCCCTGCTTCCTTCCTGCGGACCATGGCCAAGGATCCTGAGCTGCCACTGCCTCAGGATGAAAATGGAACCATAAACCCCTTCCTCGTGGGATGGGACTGTTAACAACGTGATGTGAGAAAATGTCTGCGAGCATCCATGACCTTAATGTAATTTCTGTTCATGTAAGACCCACAGTCTCTCATTTGTTGTGAAATGGTCTAGTTTTGTTATTTAGCTGAAACACACTGTGTATTATCTCCTTCCTTTAACCTGTCAGGGAGAGAGAAAAGCATAAGTTCCCTGTTAGGAGCTCCCCAGCATCTGGTCACAGAGTTCTTAGTCTAGGGGCAAGGTGAGCTGAGGGGGCGGTGGGGGGAGAACTTGCTCTAAATCACGGTTTCCCAACCTTGTTTGTCACTTCCAACATTTGGGCCAGGGAATCCGCTGTTATGGGGTGGCCTGTGCATTGTAGGAAGGTGAGTATCCATGGCCTTGACCCATGAGAGGCTGTCAGGAGTGCCACCCACCCACCTCCAGCTTGGCAATCAGAAGTGCCTCCACATAGGACCAAATGTCTCCTGAGAGAGAGAGAGTAACACTTGTTTAAGAGCCCCAGCTCTGCAGCGCCCGCTGATTCACAAAAGGCAAGTTTTTCCTCTGATCTAATAAAGTGCCTGACAGTTGGTCACAGCACAGTGTGGAGGAGCTAGAAAGATAGTTAACAATGATTAACGGCTACCCCAAGTCCACTGTACTCTTCAGGCTTCAAAGGATGTAACCTTGGGAGAGGTGAAAACAAAACCCCTCCGGGAAGAAGAAGGAACTTCTAAAGT